CCCCCCCCCCGCCCCGATAAAATGTTAACTGGGCCTGCTCTGCTTTGACGGTGGAACAGTGAATTCCATTTGGCTGCTGTGTACGAGGGTGGGGATGGTGGTGGAGGGGACCTCTGTCTAGGTGGGGGAAGGGCTGCATCGAAATCAAATAGGCCCAAAGTTCCAAAGATGAGTTGGAAAGTGTTGGACTTCAGAGGAGGAATTGTAACTTAGGGTGGTCAGCTAGATCTCCTCTGGACACACCAGAGTCCAGACTTCAGGGATAAGTGGATTTTAGCATGGGAGATGGGACAGCATCTTTGGTGAAAGAGAATGGCCTGAAAGAAAGTGTCAAAGGGATGTGTCACTATTCCTTTTCCACCTTCTATTGCAGATGATGCTGTTAAAATTCTTATAGCGGCAGACAGAGAACTTGGTGTCCTGGATCGAAGAACAGGCATCTATGAGACCCTGATACCTATAAAATCGAGGCCTGCTTCTGTTGCTTATGATCTTGAGAGAAGCACGTACTTTTGGGTGGATGAAGTCTTACATGTGTTCGTCCTTGGGCAGCCAAACTCGGTTCCTCTCTATCCAGGTATATTTCTTGACGTTAAGAGCCTTAACTTCTTAAAGCTACTTCAGCAGAGTATAAGCAACCTATGTATTTATCTGGACACCGTCTGTGGACTCACTTGTCGTGAATCATGAGAGTGTATACAATCCCGATTTGAGATAAGACCACGTAATTTGGCTCAACAGGAGCTTTGGTAGAGCATAACCGGAGAATGAGATCACTCTAAAGAAGTACAGAAAGTTTGGGGATGTGGCCTCAGGCCAAGGTTAGCCTCCGCTCCATCACTAGGTATGTGACTTTGAGCAAGTTGTTAACTCCTTTGCGCCACGCTCAGTAAGACGGAAGGGATAGCCCTTGTTTCATTGGGTAAGCAGGGGGGGATTCAAGAAGAATGGTACATGTGAGGAAGTGCTTGGCATTGTCCTGGGCACATAGAAATCCTCTGCTAGCAGTTAAGAGTTGTAATTCCTAACAATTCCCCTGCGACTTCTGTGATAGCTGTTGCCCCAAACTGAGGTCATTGCATTCTCTTGGATTTCTTGGTTCTGCTTCTGCTAAGGTCCTTCTCTTTCCCTACTGCCCGCTGTATGTTGGACATAGCACATCTCTGGTCTTCCTTCCCTGTGTCCGTTTGCTGCCTCATACAGCCTGAAATCAGAAGATGTAGAAAAGTTTAGTCCGAATCTTTTTTTCAAGGTAAGAAGAAGGTAGAAGAATACAGGAGCATAACACTGTCTCGTGTGTCCCCAGAACTTAAAACCGTGGACAGTATCTCTTTGGACTGGCTCACGGGGCAGTTGTACTGGGCTAGCAGCTTCGCGAGGGTCATCGGTGCTGGCTTGAGTGATGGCAGAGGCTACGTCAAGATCTTGGAAAAGGATCTGGTGCCAGAGCAGCTAATCGTGTTTCCCACGAAGAAGTAAGTAGTGTTTCTTTGAGAATATATCCCAAATCATGGGTTATCTTAGATATTTAAGTTGATAAGGGAGCCCTTCCACGTTTTCAACGTAGCTCGCATTTGCTCCAAAAATGTCTTCATTTTAAGTCTAAATTGAATCCTAGGGAGAGCAGCTTTTCAGCCCACTGAGTCTGAGGGCAGAAATCTCCTGCATTCTTAGCTGGGCAGTGACCTGGGGCCTGAACAAGAGCGCTAAGGGGGCCTGGCTGTTCAGGACAGCGTGTGTGCAGTCCGGGGGCGGGGGGGGGGGGCTACTGTTAACACTTTGCGCTTTTGCTTTCCTCAGGTCCTTGTTTTGGGTAAATCGTGGTAAGAAAGGCACGAGAACTATCGAAGCTGCAGGGATGGACGGCTCGGATCGGAAGGTGCTCGCAGCTGTCCACATGGAGGAGCCTGTGGGACTGACGCTTGACTACGTGGCCGGCCGGCTCTACTGGATCAGTGAATATAAAGAGGTACTGGAGAGAGGTCAGGAAGCAGAACGTTTAGTAGGGGCTTGGTAGGACGGTGGGTAACTACAAAGTTCTCCTAAGTCTCGCATCAACACCGCAAGGTGTCTTCTGGCCATGCAGACTGAGAAAAGCAAGCTATGATGGCCCAGTATCTTTGGGTGGAGCCCAACCAGATCAACATAGGTTGGGAGGCTTAGTGTGGCTTTCTCAAACACTGCAGTCAAACCTAACACTGGAATTTCCTGGTAGTATAGGTCATATTCCATGTTGTTACCCAGGATATAAAACCTTTTAAGATGGCAGACCGCCTCCTTGAAAGCATGTCGTTAAGTACTTCTTACTTAGTACTTACTTGTACTCCTATTTCTAGGTCTTAATATTACAGTTGATTTTATCTTATTTTTGGAAACATCAAACTGACAGACCAATATGACATGGTGGCTAAAAGCATAGCCTTGGGGGTCATAGTTTTTTTCTAAGACTTTGGTTTTTTTTTTTTTTTTTTAAGACTTTATTTATTTATTTGGGTCGGGGGAGAGCATGGTAGGGAGAGGTAGAGGGAAAGGGAGAGACAGACTCCCCGCTGAGCAGGGAGCCCGACGTGGGGCTTGATCCCAAGACCCTGGGATCATGACCTGAGCTGAAGGCCGATGCTTAACCGACTGAGCCACCCAGATGCCCCCATTTTTTTTTAAAGTAATCTCTACACCCAGTGTGGGGCTCGAATTCACAGCCCTGACTTCGGGAGTTGCATGCTGTACCAACTGAGCCAGCCAGGGACCCTGGGAGTGGTATTTTTAAGTCTGTTACTTCAGCTGTGATTTTGGCAATTTATGGCACCTCTTTGAGCTCCCATTGCCCTCTCTGTTTATCTCAGATAGCAGTTAGAGAATGTAGGGAAAGGACTTGGTACAGTGTCTGGATGCAGACATAAGATACAGTAGCTACTTATACAATGTACCTGTGACCCCAGCCAGTCCAACCGCTGGCTTTGGCATTAGCCTCCATGAATTCTAAGATGCTTTCCATCTTTGTCAAGTTGATAGCGTGTGAAGATGTTTAATCAGTGTCCACGCAAGAGGCGCACTGATGTCGGCCCCTCTGGCTAATGCTGCCCGGCTCTCATGACTCTACCCTTCAGTCCATAGAGACAGTAAACGTGGATGGCAGTGGGAGGCACACCTTTCCTGAGATCTTCTTGGAAGATGACGACCCAATAGGACTAGCTGTATTTGAGAACTCTTTCTTCTGGGCAAATAAAATACGGCTGTTTCACACTTCGCCCCACACCCCAAAGGAGAGAGTGGTATTGCTCAATGCTTCCATATCTGCTTTCTCGGTCCTCCACAAATCCCAACAGCCCAAGGGTATGTCACTGACATGTTAACTGTTGATGACGTAGAAGTTTTCAGTTCTTGACAGAAAATTGAAGAAAGCCCAGCATCCTGTTTACAGAAGGAAGTCAAATATTCATTGACTAGGAGTTAAAAGCTTTTGTTAATCAGAAATTATATGTCAGATTCAACTCAGATAATACTTCTTAAGTGGGTCCGAGAGACTCACTGAAGTAGAGAGCCGAGACCACTATTTACTTCTAGAGGAGTCTTCCTATCAGCAACCAGCCAGTCCTTTTGCCTTAACTCTAGGGCAGAAGATGCTGTTAGTTGAACACTTACTGGCCTGAGCTTAATATGGATAAGTAATTGCTACTATCCGAAAGGGGATCATGGGAGTTTAAAGGTCAGCATGCCTAACCTAGAAGGTAACGAGTATCCTGGGATTCCTCTTAAGGCAAAACTAACTTAACTCCCCTTGAGCATTAAGTTTTGAACAAGTATGGAGAATTCTGAGATCATATCTAACCTATTTCTATTTGAAAATAGGCAGATACCCAGCATGCGCTCCGGGCTCGTGCAGCCACCTCTGTCTCCTGTCCCCCGTCCATCCCAAGGGCTATCAGTGTGTTTGTCCAGAGGGAATGTTCCTTTTACCTTCTGGGATATGTAGTGGTAAGTGTGCTGGGCGAAATGGGCTTGACTCAAGGAGGCACATTCCATGGTCGGCCTGGAAATAATGTAGTTTCCATTTTGGGATCAATCACTTTTACACTGACAACCTTACTTTGATAAGTTTTGTTATCCAAAGATCTTGATTAGGTTTTTTTTTTATTGTGTTAAAAGTATAGAACATAAAGGTTGCTATTTTAACCTCTTTCAAGTGTATAGTGGCTTTGAGCGTATTCACATTTTTATGCAACTATCACTACCATCCATCTCCAGAACTTTTTCTTTTTTTTTTAAGATTTATTTATTTTAGAGAGAGAGAGTGTGAGCAAAAGGGAGGGGCAGAGGGAGAGGGAGAGAAACTCAAGCAGACTCCCCAGTGAGCGCAGAGCCTGATGTGGGACTTGATCTCATGACCCTGAGATCACGCCCTGAGTCGAAATCAAGAGTCGGATGTCTAACTGACTGAGCCACCCAGGCGCCCCTCCAGAACTTTTTCATCTCCCTAAACTGAAATTTTATACCCATTAAACAATAACTCCCTATTCTTTTCCCGCCAGCCCCACCCTTAAACCACCATTCTGCTTTCTGTATGAATGTGACAACTCTAGGAACCTCATATAAGTGGAATCCTACAGTATCTGTCCTTATGTTGCTGGCTTATTTTACTTTACTATCTTTAAGGTTCGTACCTGTTGTAATATGTGTCAGAATTTCCTTTCTTTTTGAGGCTGAATGATCATTTTATTTATACTATATTTGGTTTCTCCATTCATCCATCAATGAATATTTGGGTTTGATTGATTTTTGAAGCAGGAAAAAATAGCTAACACCTCTCAGTTTTACCCCAAAATTAAGTTGGTATGAAAAAGAAATTCTCCATAGTCTTATGACTATTGTGTGTTCTGACTTAGGTTCGTAAGCAGGGTCTACTTCAGTATTGTTAATTGATTTGTCTTTGAAATATTGAGGCTTATAAGCTCCATTGAGCATCTCTATCCAAATTACTTTTTTTTTTGAAAGATTTTATTTATTTATTTTAGAGAGAGCATGAACAGGGGGAGGGGCAGAAGGAGAGGGAGAGAGAATCTCAAGCAGACTCCCGCTGAGCATGGAGCCCAATGCAGGGCTCAATCTCACAATCCTGAGATCATGACCTAAGCTGAAACTAAGAGTCGGGTGCTTAACTGACTAAGCCACCCAGGTGCCCCCCCCCAATTACTTTTTGCTAAAGAACACTCAGGTTTTAAGAAGGATAAATGATGTAAATACGTTCATGCTCTAACTACCTTTAAAGAACATAATTCTCAGGGGTAGCCACTGAATGTGATCATGGTGTATGTAATAGGCTGTTGTGCCAAACTCAGGACTTGAGCTTAAATTGTATCTTGAACATTATATATATAGAGTTAAATACCCAAGTAACTTTCCTTTAAATAGGCAATCGAATTTAAAATTCTTTCTACTGAGACTTGTGTGCCATGAGCAAGGATTTAAGGACATTACTGAATCAAACGGGGCACCGCCCAGCCCCGATCCTTGTGGTTCTGTGTTAAATTTTCAGCAGAAATTCGAAAGACTTAGTGCCTTGGGAAAGCAGAGCAATTCTTCATTTGCCCAAATGACTCCCTTCTCCAAGGAAGCTAGGGCATTGGTGTTATATATGTGTTTCAGAAGGGAATTTGATAAGACCCCTTTAGAAGTGTACCTCAGCTGGAGAGATTGCTCAAGAAAGGAGCATGGGGCTTATCTGACAAATGGCCAAACAGTAAATCTCTCCTTTTTCTTGGTAGAGTTAAAGCTAGTGTTTTCTTCTGGCAAACGTCTCTACTTACTGAAAGTTGGTTTTATGGGAACTGCTATAGAGAGAACCCTAGTTCAAGAGCATCCTAGGAACATCTATTTACTGGATATTGACTGGAAAAGAAACCTCATCTACTGGACAAATGCCCAGGGACAGCTATTCTGCTCAACTGGCTATTCAGGAGAAAAGCGAGAGATTTGGACAGAGCATACAGGTAAGCTGTGTGGCTATTTTGGATTTTCCTCTTTATTTTCTGGCTCTAAAATTAATGAGAGCCAAAAAAAAAAAAAAAACCCACCAAAAAACCCCCAAAAAACTACCTGTTCCTGATCTGAATCAACCTTAATGCCAAAGAATGGTTTTAAAGTAATTTAAATATGAACTATCTGACTTACCCTTTTACTTACGAAAGGTGCACAGGCTGTTAAAAGGCTACCATGATTTGGGAAATCCTATGGTCACTGGTAAATTTTTGAAATTCAATTCTATTTTTCTGGCCTTAAGTTTGGGTAGGATAACAATAGACCTTAAATATTTCAATTTTGCATTGCAGATTTTTCTTGCACTAATTTAGAAGTGATTTACAATGCAGATTTCTGAGAGAACTAGCAAGATATCTTCTTATTGTGGTAATATATACTTTCTCTCCTCTCCCACACTGCTGAATGGCACAGCCCACCCTTATCGCCCTGTACTCCACCTAAAGGCAAACACCTACTTTATAAAAGAGAACGTGAGGCTAGAGCTCTAGGCTGAGTAATTTGATTTCTGAATGTCTGGGCCCTGGGTACTCCAAGTACCAATGATACGCTTTACTACAAGAAGCGCCATATTGAAATGCGTGTTCCTGAGACATCCTTCAGAGCAGTAGACTCTACCGAGTCCTGTGGGCAAGCACAGTGCCTGGCACCTAAGAACTTCCAATACCTGTCCCGGAGAACTTTCAGGAAAAAGTGAAATGGGCAGCGTTCTTGCAATACATCTGATGGCTGTCTGAGGAAACTTGTGATCTTGAATTTCTTCCCATTTCTTCCCACCAATTAAAATGCCACCTTCGCTCCACTGGCTAATCTTGGCCAATAGGTTTCTGTGTTACAGTGATCACATCAAGGATTTGTAAGGGACTGGCAATTTCATTTGAGCTGGCTTCTACTGTGGCATGTTGAGTCCCTGTGATAGGTGGCTCTGAAATAATAGAAAATATATAGGTCTCTGTCCCTGGTTACGGGCACAGAGTTCCTAAGACCTTTGTAACTTCCTGAGTGATAGCATCGGACACAGAGCTCCCCTAAGTCCTTTGGAATTTTCTAGGTGATAGGAAGAACTTGGTTTGAATGAGGCAATTTTGGTAGGGTCTGCAGTGCAGTGCAAAATTGAATTTAAGGTCCATTTCTACATTATCCAGACTTAAGGCCAGAACAAATTTAAAAAGCTTGCCACTGACCCTGGGAGGTTGTTTACCAGAAAGACCAAGCCACGGCTAGAATCTTAGAACTTTCAGCCCCACTCCCTGTTCGCTGGAGAGGGGAGAGGGGCTGGAAATGGAATCAGTGATCAGCCATGCCTACGTGATGAAGCCTCCATGAAATCCCCAAAGTAGGTGGTTCAGCGAGCTGGGTTGGTGAACACATCCGTATGCTGGGAGGGTGGTATTCCGCATCTCCATGGGAACAGAAGCTCCTACTTGTGGGCCCTTTGGATGTTGCCCTGTGGATCTCTTTGTCCAGCTGTTTATCTGTATCTCTTATGAAATAAACCAGTAAATGTGTTTCCCTCAGTTCTGTGAGCAGCAAATCCTCAAACTCAAGGGGGTTGTAGGAACCCCGATTTAGAGCCAGTGGATCAGAATGCAGGTGACAACCAGACTTGTGGTTGGCATCAGAAGTGGGGGCAGTCTTGGGACAGAACCCGTGGGCTCTGATGCCAGCTCTAGGAGGACGGGCTCAAAACTGAATTGTGGGACATTTGGCTAGTGTTGCAGAATTGCTTGGTGTGGGGACCCCCCCCCACACACCCACATCTGGTGTCAGAAGTGTTGGAGGAGTAAAGGTGCCGCACGGGTGTGTTTTTTCCTGTACGGTGGCTGAAAACTTGACAAAGCCAGGCAGGCCCTTCACAGAAGGGATCAGGCTGGTTACTACCTGTCAGGACCTGTTTGCAGATCTCAGGACCTCCTTACAACCCATGAGCACGCAGCTTTCAGCTTATCCTTATATTAGAGGGTGCTAATATCAGTGTTTTCTCTTTTTTTTATTTTTTATTTTTTTTTTAAAGATTTTATTTATTTATTTGACAGAGAGTGACACAGCGAGAAAGGGAACACGAGCAGGGGGAGTGGGAGCGGGAGAAGCAGGCTTCCCGCCAAGCAGGGAGCCCGATGCGGAACTCGATCCCAGGACCCTGGGATCATGACCTGAGCCGAAGGCAGACGCTTAACCGACTGAGCCACTCAGGCATCCCTCTCTTTTTTTTTTAAAAAAAGATTTATTTGAGAGAGAGATCGAGCACACATGGCAGGGAGGGCCACAGGGAACGAGATACATAAGCAGACTCTGTGCTGAGCATGGAGCCCAACGTGGGGCTCCATCTCATGACCCCAAGATCACAACCTGAGCCAAAACCAAGAGTCGGATGCTTAACTGACTCTGCCATCCAGGCACCCTAGCGTTTCCTCTTGAATAAGTTAATCTTGTCCTCGTTGAAAAGTGTAGCTGGGAAATACAGAGGAGGTTGCTAATAAAAAATGGGAGGGCTTCAAAATTCTGTTTTAGGCAAGAGTTCATGTCTTTAAGAACCTGCATAGAATTGCTCAAAGAACATTCTGTGTCCCTGACAACTGGCCATTCAACCTTGAATCTGCACAGCACTAGTGAGACCTAATGCCAGGGAGAACTTGTCTTCTGTGCCGATGACAGAGCCCAAAGGAGAAGAGAGAAGCTGAACTGGGCGTGGCCAGTCTGTTCTTACTAACTGGCCAACCTCAAGTCCCTTCTTTCCTAGAGTGACTTAAGGAATGTGCGGGACAACTCTGTGCAAGTTCCTCCACATGAAAACATGAGGAATAGTAAGACCTCCCACCCTAACACTCAGGCAGTGGGAAGAACTAGAACACATGAATCCTGTGTGTACAGGCTTCTCCATTCTGCTACCCATGCCCCAGCTTTGTGCCTCGTCTGTTTGTCCACCTCCCTCATAGTTAACATTTGAATTCTGAAATATGTCCCAGCACACTACAGGGTTTTCTATTAAGACCCAGCTCTCTGGGGGGTGGGGGATGTGCGCATAGATACGTTATATATGTTTGTAATAAAGCTTACTGATATAAAGGTTGTAACAATTTACAAATAACAAAATATACAATGTCCTTTGTTGTAAATTTCATATAGCTACATGATTTTCAGATTGGCTACAGATCCAAGAATTCAGAATAAAAAAGCAGTTTATAGTTCAATCAAAATTTAACAAAATCCAACCATGAATACATGCTTGATTGAGATCTGATTTGGCAAGGAGTCGCTGCCATCGCTGAGTGAATACAGTCCTACTGTAATGTTATTTGACACTTGTTTCCATAAACAAGCAAGAAGTGCACCGGTGAAAACTAATTGGAATGAGTTTATTGACCCAAAGGACTTATTTGTGGATTTGGATAATTGTTTTCAAATACTAGGAAAATGTTTCCCCAACTTTTGTGGTCTTTAAAATGTCATGGCCATAGGTGGGACTTATGTGAGTTTAATTTGCAGTATTAACATTTTTCCTCTGCCACTTAAGTCCAGGCCAGGGGTTGTCAGCCTCTTTCTAGAAAAGGCCAGACAGTAACTACGGTTAACTATTTCAGGCTACTCGGGCACTCTGCCATTGTATCCTCAAAGGAGCCAACGACCATATGTGCACGAATGACCATGGTGTGTTCCCCCGGAATTTACAAAAACACACCGCAGGCTGGAATTGGCCCAAGAGCCATTGTTTGTCAGTCCCTGGTCTAGAAAACAAAACCGAAAACAAATCAAGCCCTGATATGGAGTGTTTGCCAATGGCTCTGGTTAAAAATACGCCCACAGTGCCAGGTTTCAAGCTCCCCATGTAATGTCACTTTACGTGGGGTTAGGAAGGGGTGTGTGGTAGCAAAATGCAGGAATGTGAGGACTGGAGTATTTTCGTTTCAAATGCGATTAAGTCAATGTAATCTAGTTTTAATAATGATTATACCGGACAGCAAGCTTGCAGCATTCCTGAATTTAACAACTGGCCATTCCAGCACATCGCTCTAAGATAATGGATGCTCTCCTAAGCTCTGCATAGGTACGAACTCTAATCCTCAAAACTGAGAGAAGCACTGTCCCAACCAGGCATTTGCAGAAACTGAGGCATAGTAATTAGCTGACACCTTATTTTGGAATGTGCTTTGAAAATGGCAATCTGACTTGCTAGCCTAATACTGCTCTAACTTTTATGCTATACCACACCCCAGGGTAGGTACTACCTAGCTGAGACCCACTTGTGCAGCTCTAGTGGGCCAGGATGGGAGTAGGGAGTGCTTGGTGGGTTAGTGCCCGTGTCTGTTACGCTTACAAGCTACCACTTTGTGGCTTTCACATACTTGGTCCCTACCCTATCTCTGTCTTCTAGCTGTAGGTCTCCTCATTATCCATCCACTCTACCGGTGACCTTTCATACCACTGCTGTGGTGACACTTTACCCAGTCTCTGCTTTCCCATAGCGATTTCAGTTCTAGCCACTGGGCATATCATTGATTGATTTTCATACTTAACTGACAAAAAGGGAGGTGAATCCAAAGTTGCAGGTCTGCATGCAAACGTAAGCATTGCCACTTAGATATCTAACTTCTAAAAGGCGGTGGATACCTCCCTCACCAGCTGGTTGTGAGGATCACGTGGGCTCGTATGAGAGATAAGGTGCTGGAACCAGAGTAAGCATGATGGGACTCCTCATGTGAATGAGGCATGTGGACTTGTTAGGGACCAGGCTTTGCATCTCTTTAAGCATCTTCTATCCTTGACCCAAAACGTTAAAACCATGCACGAATGTATTTGAATGTCCTTTCTGATGGGAGTTCCTTTCTCCCCTCACAGTCTGCTCAGCAAATGTGGACATACCCACGGGGAACTTGTACTGGGTGCCCTGTGACCGAAGTGCTATCCAGAAGACTAGGATCCCTGGCCCAGACACCTGGACCCTCTACAGAACAGGCAGCATTATACTGCCTCTTCTTCTCGATTGGCCAAAGAGAGTGCTCTACTGGGTAGAAAGTGGGAAACACTTGCAAAGTATGACTCTCGATGGCAAAACCAGACAGCAAGTCTGGACAGGCACCTGGACGGCGGACACCCACATGGCCTTAGACCTTGGCTCGTCTAGCATCCTCTGGACGACCAAAGGGTCAGGTAAGCGCGACACAGAGCAGTGCAGTTGGAAGAAGCTGGGGGAGCGGTGGTGGTAAGGCTCGTTTCAGCATGAGGATCGCTGTCGGTCCTAGAACTAGCTAGACCTCGGCTCAAAATCTGGTTTTCATAGTTACAGCTTGGGCACGCGTCCCTCAGCTCAAACTCGGTTTCCTTTGTAAGTCTAGATTTCTGACTTGAGAGGTAGAAAACTGCAGAGCTAACATACACTTAGTCGCTTTTTGTTCGGGTTGTGTTTCTGTCTCCACGAGTAGAAGTAATAGACCCAAACTTGCATAGCAAATGAAACAGAGGTGCTTTAGGTGCACTGGATATCAGATACGACTTCTACCCTGCTGCCGACCCTGATGGTCTCCTCCAGAAGCCACCTTCAATGGCTGGTGGCTGTGTGCAGGCGACCGAGCATGTTGGCACACCGCCTGAAAGGCAGGAACGGCACGCCTGACGCTTCCACGCGGCAGATCTCACGTTCCTGGAGCTTTAAACACTTCCCGGGACTATCTTTAACTACAAAACTGAAACCTACAAAACTCGATAGGAAGAATCTGTGCTTATTATCAGTGGGGCTCGCTGACCCTTAATCGAGGGCTACCCATGCCCCCCCGTCACGGGTTACTTGTTCTCTGTCAGCTTGTAAGCACTTGACTCTTCCTTAGGGTTGCAGAGTCTGAGTCTCCTAAAAAACAGAACATACACTTTGAACAAAACCTGGAGTGACGGAATTATAGCGGCTCACGAGCCCTACCTGGTGACCGTGCACAGAGGAGCCCTTCTGCTGTGGGACAGGAGGACGCCGGAGCCCTTCGCGGTGTCGAAAGAGCCGTACGTGAGGAAGATGATCATCCTGGCAGAGAATCAGCAGGTTTCAGGCGAGTCTTCCTCTGTGCGGTTCTTCTTTGAAATCCACTTTCTCTGCCTCTCGCCGGTGTGTTTTCAGAGGATAAAATCCTGGGTATCTTTGTACTGGCAGTTGTCCTGAGCCACGGTGCAGCAGGCCTTCTCCCTAACTTGGCCTTATCCTGGAGGAGTAAGAATCGGACACCTTTCTCAAAGTTGCTAAATGACACAAGACCCCAGGCAAAACTCCCAGAAGTTTGCCCACCAGAACCCCTTTGGGGAGTCCTCTCGTACGTTAGCACCTTAAACCTCTTAATCTGATGGTAAAGAGATCCATTTAATTTGTCTAAAGCACTCACCCGAACAGATTTTACCGAGGAACCCCCATGGTCTTAACGTTTTGGGCCAAGGGTGGAAGATGCTTGGAGAGATGCAGGAGCATCTCGCCGAGGATCCTTTGCAAAACCATTCTGGGGCTGTGGATACCAACCAGGACAAGCAGTCCTTCCGGCTGTTGAAGCTGCACCCGTAGTTCAGATTACCCTGCTTACAGCTGCTTTTTTTTTCCTCTTCACATAAGCCTTTGGCCTGGCGCCAAAAAATCGGATCCTGGATCTTGAGGCAGACAAAGCAGAAATCCTATCACAGGATCCAGGGGGCTTTGTTATAGGGTATAACAGGAAGCCAGACAGAACAAGTCCCTGTCTGCAGAAACTTTATTTATTTATTTTTTAAAGATTTTATTTACCTGACAGACACAGCGAGAGAGGGAACACAAGCAGGGGGAGCGGGAGAGGGAGAAGCAGGCTTCCCGCTGAGCAGGGAGCCCGATGGGGGCTGATCCCAGGACCCTGGGATCATGACCTGAGCTGAAGGCAGACTGAGACTTAACAGTTGAGCCACCCAGGCGCCCAGAACTTTACTTTTCCTTCCTAGCAGGTAGCATCAGGCAGTGAGAAGAAGTTATTAGGCTTGAAGGAGAAAACGATTTGCCCAAATAGGAAGCCATTAGATGATGGGCCGATGGACCACATCTCACCTAAGGATCTAGGCTTTGAGGCCGTTTCACTTTTTTCTTCCTACGAGGTAGATACATGTAGCTGCCCAGCCCCAACATGGCTTTTGGAGGAGCGGGACAGTAGAAGCCCATGTCTGGTGCCGAGACCGCGGGGCCTGCCTCACTGAAGCCACCGTTTGTTGTAGATCCTGAGCTTGAAGAGGCGGCTGCAGGCGGTCCTCCCCCCGCACTTCCTGTAGCACTCCCGCTGCTTTGCACCCCATCCTCTGTCCCCTGTCGGAACGGGGACGGATGTGTTTCTCAGGAGTACCTCTGCGATGGCAAGCCGGACTGTCAGGATGGCTCGGACGAAGGAGACTGTTTCCGGTTCTGCAACAGACCAGGTCTGTCTCTGTGCCAGGAATGCTGATTCGGCTTTGGGCACGTGGCGTTGATCACAATCACCCTCGCTTCCCCTAGGTAAACTGTCGTAGCTGAAGGTCCCAGTCTGTCAGATTACAGTCTCTGACAGTATCCGTGTTATCACAGTTAAGTCAGATGTTTTACCAGGTGTAATTTTTAACTATTGCTTCCTTGCCTCCTCACGTTCGCTTAAGTGTTCCAATATTTGCCTCTCTAAAGGCTGAGCCATAAACCGACCTGAATGGACCACTTAGGACAGATTTGGCAGTGTTTTTCAACAAGCTGTTAAAGTCACCAAACCAATATGAGCCCTTATTACTTGAACAACCTCGTTCAGCTTGCGAATTCAATTGACCTGAGCACTTTATTAAAGCTTGTTTATGGATTAGATAAGCTATAGAGCTCGAACAGTTAGGATGCAGTCCACCTACCCCTCAAAGTCCAGGATGAGGGTGAGTTAATCTAACTTTAAACCTTCAGCGGGACTGAGTAGATGGCACGAGCCCTGGGTCCTTTCCACTTAAGGGGTCTTCCAGTGTCTGAACAGAAACCAGTGCATCGAGGAGAAATACCACTGCGATGGGGCTCAGCAGTGCTCGGATGGGTCTGATGAGCTGGGCTGCTGGAAGCCCACTGAAGATTGTTCTTTACGTTGTGACAACAAGACCCGCTGTATCCCCAAGAGCTGGCTGTGTGATGGCAATGCAGACTGTTCTGACAAGAGAGATGAGCAAGGATGCGGTAAGTACCGTGCAACTCCTTTGTGGTAGGTTATGTTCTACGGGGTTGCCACCAACCCTGAATGAACAGATATCACATCATTGCTCATAGGAAAAATATAAGGTGAGGTTTCTGAGAATCTCTCGTGATGATATTTTTGTCAACTAATCAACATATAATCTTGTTTTAGGTGTATTGCTGTTTAAAGACTGCTTGATATACGTATTGTTGACTCATTAACATTGAAGTCACAGCCAACAGCATTATAACTCCCGCCCGAACAAAGCTTAACACATGTATTCGCTCTGTAAGGCAGCTCACAGGCATCTCGCGCTAGGAACGTGAGACAGCGTTTCCGCACTACCCTTGGGGGCCCTTTTCAACGGCAGAATCCCCCTAAAGTACAACGTGGGAAGTATGGCTCTAAATAGACCACAGAAAGGACACTTGTTTGCAGTGTGAGGACTGAAACGAGAAGACAGAGCGTTGCCTTGTTCCATCTCAACTGGAAACGTGCGCTAGGCAACGCAAGTGTTTTGCTGCTTTGTGTATGCTTATCTTCAAATGACCGTGGAAGTGTGGGAGCATGGATTTGGGGGGAGGGTTACGATTTTGGCAAGTAGGTGAATGTGCAAATAATGAATCTGCAGATAACGAAGATGGACTGTCCTTACCACGAAGTTAGCAGACTGGGATGAAAGGGCCTGAGTTGGAGGGCTGTTGGAGATCATGGTACAAGACTTCCCTCTCTGTAACGAGATTCCCATTAGTGGAAAACCAGTCTACTTGACACAATGTTTCTTGAGCTAGAATCGACCCTCTTGAAGATTTTAATTTTGATCCTAGGTCTTCTCATGCGGTGGGCCGTCCTTATTTTTAGATGTGATTGCTTTCCCCTCTTGTCAATGGGATACTCAATCTTCCTTTTTAGTCTTCCCAGTGACCTGTTTCAAGAACCTTAATCACATTGTAGGAATAGGGTAGAAGAGAGAATTTGGGGAATTGAAGTGGGAAGAGGAGGAGGCTGGGTGAAGTACCATGATAGATTTGAATACAGAGGCCACTGGGTAGCCAGACAATATCAGTGCACTCGGACTTACGAGAAGAACATCAGGAGGAGAGGCAGGAGGGAACCCCAAGTATAATTTACTTTTCAATGCGTATTTATGGTTTTGCCTAGGACCTGAGCTTTTTTTCTTGAGCCAAGTCAAGCAACTTCTGTCTGTAGGAACTGAGCCCAAGAACATAACATGTAGGGTATGCTGGATGTCATGAGAGACTTTCTCTCCTCGTGGATGATGTTAAGGTCCTGGAGAAGAGCCCTACTCCTCACCCTACCCCGGGGTCCTTCGTGTGTCCCCTGCCTGTCCCCCCCGCCCTCATTCTCCAAGATGGGGTTTTTCTGGGCTAGCTTAGTAGGCCTTTTCTGGCCTAACACTATTCAAACCACCTTTGAGGGCTGGGGTTTAGTTCCCCAGGTGACAGCAGAAGACTGGAGAGTCTTCACAACGTTTCACATGCCTTCAGATGGCTTCCACATCTGGCTGAGTTCTTACGTAAAGCTTTGTTTTCCAGTTCATGCAGAATGCAGCGCCCCGGAATTTCGATGCGAGAACGGCCAGTGCATCTCAAACTCTCTGCGCTGCGACGGGAACCGAGACTGTGTGGACCACTCCGACGAGGACGGCTGTCCTGGGGCCTTGCCGCTGCAGTGCCCGTTGGGGGAGGTGAAGTGCCGGGGGAGTGGAGAGTGCGTGCCCGCTGCATGGCTCTGTGACCGGGACTTCGACTGTGAAGATGGGACCGATGAGCAGGTAGCGCACCCTTGTTCAGAACAACTGATTTCTCCTCACAACCGCAACATGTGCCTTCCTTATAGAAAATGTGAGAAAACCCAAGAACAGAGAAGGCTCTCATCCCTACTGCCCAGAAAACCACTCGTCATGACAACAAAGTGTCCAGAGTGATCAGAGCTCTTGTCGAAAGACAAACGTTTAAGAGGTTTTTATTGTAGGTTTGCAGGGGTTAGGTCTTCATGGCCGTGGTGTAAATGTCCCCCCAGAGATCTGCTCCGAAGCTCTGCCTCCCCATCACTGAGAAGTGTGCTGACCCTGCCACGCTGTGGGACATGCAGCCTGGCTTGAGTCCTGCTGCTTGCGTTTGACCCGAAGAAAGTACTAACTCCCTCATGTTCTACTTCCTCGTCCGTCAAATGGATAGGAGATAGGCCTCGTGGTGCCTGAGGGGTTGAGAATGCATCTAAAGGTTCGGGGCTGTCAGCAGGGGCACGGATAGCCCCTCCCCTCCTCTAGTACATCCTGCCCCAGAGCCGAGTGTCCAAGTCAGGAGAGGTGCGAAGGATGCCGTAACGTTTAATGTGCTAGGGGCGGTTTTGAGATGGCAAAGGAATTCTTTTTTTTTTTAAGATTTTATTTATTTGAGAGAGAGAGAGCACGCATGAGCAGGGGCAGAGGGAAAGGGAGAGGCAGAGGGAGAAGCAGGGAGCCCGATGCAGGGCTCGATCCCAGGACCCTGAGATCATGATCTGAGCTGAAGGCAGACGCCTAACCGACTGAGCCACCCAGGCGCCCCCAAGTGGCAAAGGAATTCTAAAGAAGGGTTCCAAGAGCACATTCTTATGCCTAGATGTCTTAAATGAAGACGTCTTGGTTTGACAAAATAAGACCTTTCTTTTCACTTCACAGCCAGGTTCACTTTACCTAGACCTCCTCACCTAAACTCTGGCTGCTGAAAACGTTTTTCTGAGTCTTGGGGCTTTCTCTGGCCTTGTTGCAGAAGGGACTCGAGCGTTGTCTTGTAAGCCAGGCTCGTTCTCCCTCCGAGAACCCCATCCTGGGCTCTGAGTGCGGGTGTTGCTGACCCAGTCACTGTCCCCTCAGGACTGTGACCCGGGGGAGCTTCGCTGTGGCCCCAGGCAGTGGTCCTGTGCTGGCGGAGACCAGTGCGTGCCTGGCATGTGGCGCTGTGACGGGCAGAGAGACTGTGAGGACGGCAGCGACGAGGCTGGGTGTAAGCGCGGGGGCGCCCACTGAGGGGAGGGGGCTTCCAGGGGCGCTGGCCGCTTGCTTCCTCTAGGCCTGCGAAGCCAGCTCAGCCAGCAAGTGCCACCGGCCCTGACATCCATTCCCCGACCAGGATGGAGGTGCCTGACTACGTCCTTGCCGTGGGAGGGATGTTCAGGGTGGCGGGGAGCGGACTCTAAGAGTGGAAAGTCATCCTCTCCAGGCCCCCCCGCGAAGTGCCAGAGCTCTGAGTTCCAGTGCCGCTCCCACGGCTGCCTTGCCCTCCGCCTGGTGTGTGACGGGAAGGAGGACTGTGCCGACGGCTCCGATGAAGGTGGAACGTGCTCGCTGTCAGAATGCCACCGAGCGCGGTGTCCCCACGCCTGCTACCAGTCCCCGCACGGGCCTGTGAGTTCATGCAGCCAGGCTCACCAGCAGCTGTCAGCTTGGTTCAGTGACGGGGGCAACCTCGTCAGTCAGGCTGGCCCCCACTGCTCGTGACGCCCCGAGTCTTACGTGGCTGAGCTGTCCTGATCGGTCCTCTCGTGTCCGCGGAGCCCTTCCTGGCTCCTTCTGAGTCCCGTCAGGTTCCTTCCCTGTGTCGTGTCTCCTGGAGCTTTACCACCCAGCCTCCAGAAGCCCTGCTGCTGTGAGCTCCGGGCGACACTTGGGACTAAGCCACACGTTTTTGTGGACGTCTCTTCCATATGTGTATTTGGAACGTGACCTGCCCTTAAATCGAGGACTGCCCCGTGTTCTGGTCTAGCATTATTAGCTGGCTGAACATCGTGAACTTAACTCTGATGGGCAAGTAGAAGGAAACAGTGTTCTGACGTCTGATCACGGTAACGTCTCTGTTGGCGGGCAGCCCGTTCAGTTCAGTCTCCTTGCCTCTTATCGATTCTGCTGGGGTTCTAGGTGTCCCGGGCTGAACTTGGATCCCTTCGTTAACTCAGGACCCACGGTGGTGGCCAGGGTGTGAGGTGTGCGGCAGCGTTGACAAGACCGAGAGAGTGATGGTATTTTAAGTGAAATCGGTTCTAAGAACTTTTTTGTTTTGAGCTGCTGAAATCAAGCTCATCGCCATGTGCTTTTAATAGCAAGGTCAGGCCTTTTCGTCAAGGTTATGTCTCAGTGTCTTCAGGAAGTCTTAATGTTTTTGAAACCCATTCAGGTATGTGCTTGTGAGCAAGGCTTCGAGCTGGGGAGCAGTGGCCAGGTCTGCAAAGATGTGGACGAGTGCGAGAAGCCGGGTAGTCAGCCTTGCAGTCAGACCTGTGTCAATACCCAGGGCTCCTACAGCTGCACCTGTCACCCTGGCTACTCGCTGGAGCCCGATGGCCACACCTGTAAAGCAACAGGTAAGCTGGAACCGGGATATCTCCTAAGCCCTGGTCAGGAACTTCAAAGTCCTGAATCTCCCAGGAATACAAATGCAAACCTTCTTTCTCAAGTCTTAAATGCTCCCGCCTGCTTTCTGTCTGCCGAGCAAGCCTAGCACATTCTCCAGATCCCCTTTTTAAAGGCAGCAGTTCAGATGGAATTAGATCTGAAGGTGTCGACAGATAAGCCATCATGATGACAGAACCACGACTCTGGTCCCTGTAGCCACAGGTCAGCCTTACCTCAAGTTAGAATAAATGTCAGAAGTCTTGATAAGCCCTTCTTTCCAGCCCGCCTAGGCTTACATACTTAGTTAGAAAAGGTTTTTGTTTTTTGTTTTTTTTTTCCAATTTATGCTACTCATGCCTTGATTCTAAGTATCTTTAAACTGTGGGTATTAGCACAAGCATCACATCGAGGGGAGAAGCACCAGCCGGCTGGTGTCCCAGGCCTGGCAGTGAGAAGGCAAAGACTACTTTGTTCTCTTACTCCTTAGCCAGGGCTCAGTTCAACGTTCAGGCTCCGTAAGGCCACATGCTGAACACAGTTCTTATCTGGCAGGTACTGAACCAATCTTGCTGGTGGCGCTTCAGTTCAACCTCCTCCTCTATGGCTTGAGGAGCTTGAAGGAAGACATTCTGGCAACTGTAGACAAGAACGTGATGATTTTCTCTATTGACTATGACTTAGTGGGGCAGAAAGTCTTCTGGACTGATCTCGATGCAGAAAGCATTAAGTGGATAAGTATGGACACAAAGAAGAAAGGGACCGTGGTGAAGGGTATGTCCCCTGTGTGGGCTTCATCCTGCCCTCATGAATGACGCATAACATGAAAAATGGCCATTAACATTCTAAACATTGATTCAGTGAAATCTTCTTAACTAAAGGGGACCAAGGCCTGCTAGTGGGCTAGAAATGGAAAGCTGCATTGTTACCTCCGTAGACCACGCGAGTCAGCCAAACTGTCAGCCAGTGGCCGTTATTTCTAATGGTCATCTTCCTCCACAAATAGAACCTTGGAGGAACTTAAAGATTGCTCTGATGGAGATGCGTATACAGTTGTAAAATGAATTAACATGGTATTCAAGTCAGACGCCTATGAGCTGAAACCTAGTAAAAGCCGTAATGTAACCTAGATCCATGTGGTGAATGGTTTCCGCTCTCTCTTCAGGGATAAAGTCAGACTGTATAGCGGTCGACTGGATTGGGAGGAACCTCTACTGGGTGGATGGGACAGCTGGCCAGATTTTGGCAGTTCAGCTGACCGCTGTGTGGAGAGGAAAATCCGAGCACACGATTGTCCTAGATGATGACTTGACTCAACCGCGGTCTTTGGCTTTAGATCCCCTAAATGGGTGAGTCTGGGGGTCAAAATGCCAGTCAAGTCTGGTGCTATTTTGGTTGTGTTCCCTCAACACAGAATGAGTAAAAAAAACCTATCTGACTTGACTTTAAAATCTTACGGTGATGTGGGTCAACCATACGTATAGTAATCTTAAAAGCTTCTGATAAAAGTTCTTTATTTCAGTGAGGTGAGATGTAGGTGTTCTCACTTGGTGGCCCACCTGTACTTTCTTCTGTGAAAATAATTCTCCATTCAGAGGTATATTTTTTTGTGGCTTTAAATGGCAGGAGGAAGGAGAATGGAACTAGGGATAGGATTTATTTTTTTTTAAGATTTATTTATTTGAGAGAGAGAGAG